AAGACATGACTCATTAGAAAAGACAATGATGCTGGGAAAGGTAGAGGGTAGCAGAAAGGAAGGAAGACTGTGTGCCAGATGGATAGACTCAATCACAGAGGTCACAGGCATGAATATGCAGAATATGAGCAGAGCAGTGGAGGATAGGAGGGCTTAGAGATGTCTCATCCACATGATCATGGAATCATAGAGTTGGAAGAGACCACAACGGCCATCCAGTCCAACACTGCCATGCAGGAACTCAAAATCAAAGCAAATGAGTTGGGCCTGGCTCAAGGGCAGTTAACAAGTATCAGCATGGCATAGTGGTTTGAATGTTGGACTCTGACTCTGGAGACCGGGGTTTGATTCCCCACTTGTTCATGAAACACATTGGGTGACGTTGGGCAATTCATATGCTGTCAGCCTCAGAACAAGGGAATGGCAAACCTCTGAATAAATCTTACAAAGAAAAACATATGATAGGTTCACCTTAGGTTCACTAACAACAACAACAACAACAACAATAACAATAATTTATTTGTATCCTGCCTCTCCCTGTTGAAGATCAAGGCGGGTAACAGCAAAAATTAAAACAATACAGAAATAAATAACAAGAAACCATCCCCAAACCCACCACCCCTTCAACCCACCTGCCTTTCGATATAAAATTACAACAATAAAATCCCTATAACTAAAAAAACAATTACAAACAGTTAATAACAGTGGCAATGTCTAGCAGAGGTAGATCAAATGGGCAGTTAGTTCTGTCCAGGGCAGAGGTCAGTCTGAGAAGGCCCTCTGGAAGAGAATAGTTTTTATCGCTTTTTAAAAAACATCAAGAGATGTAATCAAGTGAGTCTCCTCTGGCAGGTCATTCCAAATTTTAGGAGTGGCAACTGAAAAGGTCCTTTGGGAAGTCACCACCGGTTTAGTTTTCCTTGACTGTAGTAAATTCTTCCCAGAGGACCTGAGAGTGTGGGAAGGATTATATGGGAGGAGGTGTTCATTCAAGTAAGCTGGACACAAGCCATATAGGGCTTTATAGGTAATAACCAACACCTTGTACTGTGCCTGGAAGCTAACAGGCAGCCAGTGTAAAGATTTCAAAATAGGTGTCCGGGAAAGCTGCCAACACATGGCTGATAAAGACAGGGGCCTCTTGCAAGACAGCAATCCAGTTGCAAGTGACATACCACTGTTTGCTTGTAACAGGCAACCAACAAGTCCAGAGTTTCAAAAGGCAGGTCCAGAGCGATCCAAAGTTCAGGGTTATCATGAGCAGGTAGTCCAGAGCCGTTCCAAAGGTCACAGGGTATAAGCAGTCTAAAGTCAAGCCGAGAGCCAAGAGCTTTCACCGAGGAATCCAAGATAAGCCTTGATGGAGAGCTTGGCTTTTCCCAGCTGCTTATCTAGCCTTCTCTCCCCCAGGTGTTTCTCTTTAGCTGCGCGTTTCTCAGCTAACCTTCGAGAACTCCGCAGCCCCTCCCTATCTGTTCTCCTCTGAGCAAAGGTAGGGATTTCAATCTCTTGATCATCTGCTTCTTCCTGGCCTGAAACCTCTTCTGGGGAAAGGCTTTCTGCTGGAGGAAGGCTAGGCTGCTGAGGCAGGGGCTGTTGCTCAATAGGTTCCATACAGCTAGGTCCAGGTTCAGCTAGGTCTATGGGGGCTGGAAGCACCAAGCTAGGTTCTGGCCCCACATCCTCCCCTTCAGAGTCCTCCAAGTCCTCCACCTGGCTGTCCCTGACAATAGGTGTTATCTGGTCAAGCCTAGATTTTCCTCTGACTAGTCTGGCTGCCATGTTTTGTACCAGTTGAAGCTTCTGAACTATAAGTTGGAAATGACTTGAAGGCACATAACAAGTTTCATTTTTGTACTGTACATTTGAAATGTAGAGATAGTAAACCTACCTACAGTCTGAGGCTACATCTACATTGCAGAATTGATGTAGACACTGCTTTAACTGCCATAGCTCAATCCTGGGATTTGTAGTTTTGTGAGGTATTTTGCCTCCTGTCACAGAGCTCTGGTGCTATAAGAAACTACAAATTCCAGGATTCCATAGGATGGAGCCATAAAAGTTAAAGCAGTGTCAAACTTCATCAGTGTGGCAGCAGCCTGGGTTGACTATTCCATTACACTTTTAGTGATACCTTTATTGGCCAACCAAAATGCACAGTATACTTGTTTTAAGCTTTCGATGCTCCATGGGCTTCTTCATCATGCAAGATGTTACATGAAGAAACCCATGGAGCGTCAAAAGCTTAAAACAAGTATATTGTACATTTTGGTTGGTCAATAAAGTTATCACAGATGGATTTTTGTTTGAATTTGCTAAATGGCCAACACAGCTACCCCTGAATCTTTTCCATTAAAATTTTGTTAGTCTATTATACCAAATCCAGTATTGTTACCTGCCTTCAGGTTGACTGTGGTTGATGACAACCTTATCATAAGATTTTTTTCTCTCAAGAGTTCTTTTGAGGAGGTTGGTCATGGCCTTCCTCTTAATGCTGAGAGCCTATGACTTACCTTAAGTCACCCAGTGGGCTTCCATGACAGAGTGGTGATTTAAACCCTGGTTTTCCAGAGTCCTAGTCCAACACTCAAATCACTACACTGTTTCTGAGGTACACTGCTACTGAGTACAAATGTCTGAAGGAGATAGCACAGTGGGTGTAGTTACAGTTTTTGTCTTTCGTGCTGTCCCTTGACACCATGTGAATTGGACAGAACACATAGTGATGGGGAAACTTCCTATTACCTTTCCAATTTTACAGAATCAAACACAACCCAAATACACACAAATTATAGCAACAAAAAGCCAGTCTAAAACTTGTGCTAATCTAGTATTCAGAAATCTGAATAAACATGCAAAGCTTTTTTCCAAGCTGTCTAGAACCCTAAACTTTGCTTCAGCATGGGAACAATGGTCTTTATTGAGCTGAAAGTTTGTGGGGGGGAGGGGGACTAGCAAAATAAGTTGATAGATTTTGTCCTTCAAAAAACAAATTTATTTATTTATTTATTCCAAGGATTTATATCCTGCTTTTCTGCAATGGTACAATTGGTAACAGGTCAGACACAGAAGTGAGAAAAGGAAGAATTCCATGGATGTGGACTTCATACATACCCACATCCTTACTCAAGATTCTCTGAAACAAACAGAAGATTCAATCGGTCCTTTCAAATCTGTCATTTTTGATACACAAATATCCTATCATGTTATGTTCCTATGTGGAATGGATTCACAATATACACAGTAAATCATTAAAGGAGAAATAACCTGTAATGATAAATTTGTTACATGTGTTACATGCTTCAAACTTCTTACTGTCTTTTTCTTTAAAACAAAGCAGGTTGAAAATTTTATGCCATGCTATTTTTATTGCATGGTGTCAATAATTCTAAACACGGGGTATTACAATAACCACTCTGAGATTTTGACTGCTCTTCTTTCCTTCCTTCATAATTTTATTATTAATTTGGACTAAAGTATGGCGCCTTAACTGAATACACCAAAATCTCAGTGCATCCAAATTCTCAGTGCATCCAGTCCACATGAAAATTCATCTCTGTTTATACAACTGCTGATTTATTCTAAGGAAGACCAATGGTTCCTTGAGCCCTTTGCTATCGATATTTGTCTGCCACTGAGACAAAAATTTAACATTGACAGAGGAAGATGCCTTACACTGAACAATATCACTGGATTGTTGCCACTGACTGACAATAGCTCTTTAGAGCTTTAGATGGAAGCTTTTTGATTTTACCTAGAGATTGTTGCTGTTGTGTGCCTTCAAGTCATTTCTGATTTATGGTGACTCTCAGATGTACCTACCAGCAGGGCTTTCCAAGGATGAGAGGCTGTGACTTACCCAAGGTAGCATAAAGGGTTCCCATAGCTGAGAAGGAAACTGAACCCCAATTCCCCGAGTTGCAGTCCAATGCTCAAACCACTACACCACATTGGCTCTCCTGCAGATACCAGGGCCTTTTTACATGGAAAGCAGATGCAAGGGGCCTTTTCAGACTGCCAGAAATAGTGCAAATTGAGTCCACTTTAACTGCCCTGGCTCAGTGCTAGGGAATCATGGGAGCTGTCATTTACTGTGGCACCAGAGCCCTCTGACGGAGAAGGCTCAATGTCTCAGAAAAAAATACAGTTCCCATGATTCCCTAGCACTGAGCCAGGGCAGTTAAAGTGGACTCAATTTGCACTATTTCTGGCAGTCTGCAAAGGCCCTTAGTTAAACCCCTTCTCAGCTATGGCATTGTTGTTGTTGTTGTGTACCTTCAAGCCATTTCCAACTCCTAAGGTGAGAGTTTCATGGGGTTTTCTTTGCAAGAGTTGTTCAAAGGAGGTTTGCCATTGTTCTCCCCTGAGGCTGAGAGTGTGCGACTTGCCCAAAGTTACCCAATGGGTTTACATGGCTGAGCAGGGAATAAAACCCCGGTCTAACATTAAACCACTATGCTACGCTAGCTCTCCAGTTATGACATACTAAGGCCAATTTATTGATACAGAATTATTTATTATTTTTCTCATATAAATATCTTCATCCTGTTGTTGTTTTGTTGTTGTTGTTGTTGTTGTTGTGTGCCTTCTAGTATTTCTGACTTGCAGTAACCCTAAGGAGAACCTATTTTGGGTTTTCTTGGTAAGATTTGTTCAGAGGAGATTTGCCTTTCTCTGAGGCTAAGAGAGTGTGACTTGCCCAAGGTCAACCAGTGGGTTTCCATAGCTGAGTGGGGATTTGAACCCTGGTTTCTAGACAGACTCCAACACTCAAACTATTACATCACTCTGGCTCACTGTTTTACTATATCAATCCACATACAGATGGTTTAAAAACTTGCACTGAGAATTGGGATATTTTCTGATCCCAATTCCTGAGGCAAAGAATACTCAGTATTTAATAGGAGCAGTATGCATCAGAGGAGGCAAGAACCACACAGGCAAAAACACCCAAAACCAAACCAAAATAATCAATCGCCTCAAAAACAAACATACAAAGGAAACCCCAAATGAAATGAAACCAAAAAACATACTTTCTATTCAAGGTAGTGGTCTTGCTTTATATTCCTTTGTTTGCCCTGAGGAACATGAGAAAGGGACCAGTCCCTAAGTTCAGGGAACCCTATGCACAAATTACTTTCTTCATGAGGTCTGTTTCTCAGCACAATCCACCACTAAAAAAGAAAACACAACATATAAACAAAAAAATCTGGAGAGCATATTCTAATAATATTAAGCAAAATGTCACTCTTTTTCTAGAGGCTATGAAAAACAACAACATGGTTTTCTAAAAGTTTTTGGCTCAAGTTGTACAAAACTTGTACATCCTGCAAGTTCAATGCCAGAAACATTATTATGTCACTAT